CCCCCCCCCCCCCCCCGGTGTTTGCCATCGGGGTTGGGTGTTCGCCGCTTGGCAACGACTTTGTAAAACAAGCCAATTCACTTCGTGAACTCGGCAACCAGTTTGCCGTCTTTTTTGTTTTTTACCTCTATTTTTTTTTTTGGCGGTAACCATAATGGTGGTCGAGTAGATCATGTTGTGCGGGGCCGAGAACCCTCACTCCGCGCAAGGGGGATGATCGCACCACGTTGTGTTAAATTGGTCAAGCACCCTCGAGGCAGTTACACAGTGCTAACAACTGTCTCAGGAAGTGAAAGCACCAGAAAATATATTTAGTCATACGCAGCTGCCATCCGTACGCAAGGAAGTAAGCACAAGATGCCGAACACCCTTAGCAGGATGCAGCGCACCCTTCATGCGACTCGCCGAATACCTCACGGCGCATCGCGCTTGGTGATGCGAGAGCCTAGTCCGGTGAGAACCCGGCGTGCTCCGTCCCGGCTTTGTAGGGATGCGAGGTCAATGGTCTAACGACTACGGCATGCAGGACTTTCTTTGAGTAACCCCCCCCCCCCGCTCCTCCAAGCTGAGTCGCCTCCCGAATGCTGCCGCGAGGCATGAAACGACAACGTGTCGGGAAAAAAATGTAGGGAGACGTACGACCCCTTCCCTGTGGTAACGAAAGGAATACCCATGCGTAACCCTTCCTGTTTCATTTCCAGGACGTGGATGGAGCGTGGGCCGGGGGTCGAGGGTTCAAGAAACAGCCATACCTCACAGTTGCCGACGCCGGCGGTGGGACGATTACAATGGACAGTACCACCATGGTCACCGCAAGCGTTACTCCCAGCCTGATGGTAAGAGCGTGCATGCAACATGGAATATCGCGAAAGCAGGGCAGAGTCGTTAATGCCGCTCCAGGAGGCACCCCGGAGGGAAGGGGGTGGGTGGGATGGTGGCGGTTGGTAGAGCGGATGAAACGTTTCCAATTGGTTGTGAGAAAGAGGGGAACGAGGATGTACCTACCGTCTTGCGCCCTCCACCGGTAGAATGAGAAAAATAGAAGTCAAGCAAGAAAGTACCCGCTGGGCGGTACAGGTACGAAGGGCCAGTGACTCGATCTGATCCGTTGTGTATGTGGGGGATTCCTCGCTCTGTCGTGGGGTTTGCCTAGTCGGGTATGGATTCATTCAAACGCATGTGGGCGGTCACCCGTAACTTGGTCAATAATACGTCAGGTAGAAACAGTCGTTGGTGCGAAAGACATATGCACAACGGTATTAGCAAATACGCAAACATGCGGTAACTTGAAAGTCATCGGTCTTCAGCGTTGGAGTGCACTCGTTGAAGGGTCAATGCGGACTCAACCGGGAAGTAACGTTCCTCAGACCAAGCCACTCTTCGGGTTTTTAAACCTGTCCTGGCCCGTGCACACCGGCGTCCGGCATGCTACGAATCCCTTGAGCGGAATGCATGTGCTTCACCTGTTCTTTAATCGAACCATCCGATTACAACGCGACTATCTAGGCTTCGTTCGGTCTAAGGTAGTAGCTGGTACTGTTGACGCCATGAACAACACACACGTAGTATCCGTCAAACTTGCGAGCCCCTTGTACGTTCAACTGAATTTGGCGTTCGTGATGCCACTGCTGTATCTGGGAAACCCGAACGAACCACTACCGTGAAATATGAAACGTCTAAGGTGCGGAGACAGAACGCAATGGTTTTGTTCAAATCCCCTCTTTTTTGTGGCCCAAATGTCGTGATTGCCTTGCATGTATCCAATTGAAGGTGAACCACGACGTGACGGTTGATACGAGCTTGGATGCTTCCGTGCACATCACGAGGGTGTACACTTACATGGAGGACGGAGCGTATGGAGTCGGAGAGGAAATTCTGGTTACGGTCGTCTTCTCAGCGCCTGTGAGAGAAGTTCGAACATTGTCCTCTTGGTCGCTTACAGCCTCACTCAAGGTGGAAAAGTGTGTGTACGTGTGCTACCATTAGTAATGCTAGTAGTAGTAGTCGTAGTACGGGTTGCTGTGGTGTTTCTCAACGTTTCGATCTCTACCAAGTACATGCATATTTCCCACGAATGAACATCATACGAGGAAAGTTCCTTTTTCGCGGGAACGTAAAGCTTCAAGCGATTTTGAGGACTGCAATTATCGATACAAGGGACATCCAGAACCTTTCGTGAATGTGGTGGAACGATTAGGGTAGCAGTTCTTGCCGTGTGAACAACTCCGTGGTGGAGGTTAAGAATTCATGAGAAAGACATGGCAATTATGTAGTCCAGTTGCGCACAAATCAACATGACATATTTCATGCTCAATTTAGCACGCCACCGGTCGGGTGCCGGTTGGCCGCCTTCCGGCTGCACTACTTGGAATTGTCATGTTGAACATATAGTTCTGAATAAACCATTTAACGATACGCTGTCGCTCGAAGGTGTTATGAACAACTGAAGACAGGTCATATCAAAACTGAAGACAGGTCGCACTTTCAGTGGAGAGATGTTCAAGTGTGAGACTACGCTCGAAAAGTTCCGATGGCTCTCCCCCCGCGAAGATACCTCAAGTAGGCAAGAAAACCCCTCTGGCACCTGTCCCCACAACATAATATTGCAATATTTCAGGACCCGCGTGTTTTCTTTCTTTGTACAATTCCCCTGTTTTTGCTTTCGTCCAACTGACTTGAAAAGAACCATTCTCGGCCACGTGCCTACCATCCCCATCTGATCTCTTTCTTCGGATACTGACACACAGGTATACGCGGACACGAGTAGCGGCGGCACAGAGGGCCCCTACCTCTACCTAGGAGGTACCCGCGGCACGGACGGCTCGTCGGGCCTCCCAGCCGCCCTCAGCAACACCTCCGTTCTATCGGCCGATGATGCCTCCGTGGCGGCGATCGCCTCCGACGAAATAACCTTCGTCTACACAGTGGAACTGGGGGACCAGAGCACCGACGGCGTCGGCAACTCAGTGGTTCTGGAGGCCGAAGGACATTACGCAGTCCGCGGCGGGGACGCCCCGCTGGTGGATCTCTTGGGGAGGGAAGCGAACGCAACCCTTCCCGGGGTAGGGGTGTGGTCCGACGTTAGCTTGTCTGGGGCATCCTCCTTGACAATTGAAGCGACCGAGCCGGTTGTTGTGGCTGTCGGGAGTTCGCTTCGCGGCGGGGAGTATGGAGTTGGGCAGGTGAGTTAGTCCAACACGGGGAATAAAAAAACACGAGGAAAATGTGATGGCGGCCGATGATACCCATAAACATACAGGCGCATTGTTCGGCCTTCACTCTGCAGCGTGCTCTGGTACTCGTTCATCGCACGGGTGTGGTTGCCATTGTTGTTGATTCAGGAACTCCTCAGATGCCGTTGGGCACGCTTTTATCTCTTTGCGTTCAGACTTCTAGACTGCAGCCCCAACTGACTTTTCATCTGCCGCCCTCGCTAGGTAATCTCCTTCAGAGTCGACTTCAGTTTTCCGGTGGTGGTCATTGTGAGAGCCGGGGCGTCTCCACCCCAGCTGAGCGTGGGTGGATTCAACGATAGTCTCAACGGATCCTCATCTACAGTGTTGGCGGAGTACGTTGATGGAAGCGGCACATCGGAGCTGCTGTTCGAGTACATGGTGAGCTCGTTGTTGCCCCTGAGAACTGTGGTAATCATTGTACCGGGTCTCAGAATGTCTTGCGGAAGGGTGTTCAGAGGCATGGAGGGAGTATTCGCGACGTTAAACGGATTATTGTCAATGTTCAGGTTCTCGCACGAGGACTCACAGAAGAGCACAGCCAACAAAAACGAAGCGCCGAAAAACTCATACAAACACTCGTGCAATCCATCCCTACATACCCTTTTCGAAACGTGCAGATCCAAGAGGGTGACACCACCGAGGGCTCCGCCCTGGGACTCACGATCCCGAACGGCGAAAACGCCTCAATCATCCTCCCGGACACGAACCTCTTGTCTTCTGTGGCCAGCCCACAAATACTGCAGAGGTCTTCTAGCCCTTCCCTAGCGGCGAACCTTTCCCTAGCAGGCGTGCCCGGTGGCGAGGATGGGGGCACCGGGTTAGGATCCGACGGCGGAAGCGTGACCGTCGACACCACGCCGCCTGAAGTGGACGTGGAGAGAGGGGTGGTGGTGACAGGGTATGGGAATGGCACCTACACGCACGGAGATACGGTTTTCGTCACGATTTGGTGAGCATGGATAATCGTGGGGGGGTGGGATGCTGGAGAGCGAGTTTGCTCGAAGATTGGCATAGTTCATGGTGCGTGTCTGAGCGATGGTTGGAGAGGTGTCCGACTCGATGCGCGCACAAACGTTCTAGAGGGAACGACGAGGTGGTAAAGTACGTAAGTAGTTTTTTGTCTAGACGTCACGCGGTCGACTCCGTAGACACTCCGCACCAGATTATGTAACAGCAAAGAGTCCCAGCTTTGCCCTCTAAACCAGCTCTCCACCGCTCTCTTACGACAACGTTTCTGTCAGGTTTACGAAGCCTGTTGCTGTGTTTGCGGACGTCGGACTCTTTCTCACCACCAACCAACGCGGGGCTAGGGCGGATTTCTCTTTAAGGGGTAACGGCACATACGATGTCACTTTCGAGTGAGTCAACGCTTCGTCCCTCCGTTGACTCCGGTCACGAAGGCTACTACGGGCACGAGAGAACGCCGACGGAACCGAACACTTCCTAATTTGGTGTAAGCAAAATAAACCGTTATGAAATCCGAGGGAGGGGCCCGAAACCTCGGTTCCGATAGGAGAAAAGCGATGGTGGGATGCTTTCCCCAAAGAAAAACCTCTCCAGCATCCTATTGCAGAGTATCAAACAATCTTCTTCTAGGGATCGACACGCCTCGACCGGCCCTTCATTGCAAATCTGTTCGAAGGCGGGCCCTATGTTTTTCTGGAGCATCATTTATCATATCGACCTGTTGTTTTGCCCACGTGTGTGTGTGAGTGCGTATATTTTTCTATTTGTCTTTCATCAACGACGCTAACCGGCTGACAAATGCAAAGGCAATACAGTTACAGCTGAACATTGACGGAAACACGTTTGTGTGTGCGTGTGTGTCATTAGGTGTTATTTTTCATGCAAGATGTCGTCACTACCGTTAGGACCTACAGCAGCCTGTTGTGTCGCGATCCTAAGTCTTCTTGTGAGCGTACTTGCATGTACCCGTCCTGTGATACGTGGCTCGCCTGCGCATGTCCATCCATCGCATTTTTTAAACCCATGATCAGGTACAACGTGGTTGAGGGGGACTCTGTGGACGTTCTCGACATCTACGGCCGAAGCGCCATCGACCTTGGGAACGACGGTTACATCAGGCGTTACTCTACGAACCCCACGCAAGACGCGAACATTGACTTGGCCGAGGCCATTGCTGCCGGTACGTCCTGCTCACGGAAGTAGGCGACATGTGACTTGTTGGGTGGCCGCCCACGAGCAGGAGTTTTCGCAGGGAATCGTCTTCGCTCTACTCAAAATCTACAAGAATAGTTGCAACGAGCGTTCTGCAAATACCTCAATAGCTTCGCGGTTTGTCACTACCGGTACTTGTTGTTTACCACCCTACCGTACAACTAGCAGCCGGCCGGGCCAATCATAACGATTATGTTTTCGCTTCGAAGTTCTCATACCTATACCTTGCACTTGCCCATGCTACAGCTTGTGCAGGTTCGTCCTCACTACAAACTCCTCCCACACACACCGTGTTTCTTGTTCCACGCTTTGGACCCCAACAGGAAAAAGCCTCGCCAAAACCTCAACGATAGCTCTCGACGGCGCCCCTCCCTACCCCGTGGGCGTGTCCTTGGCGCCCGATACCCCCGACGGTGCCTCCTACGGCCTCGGAGATGTTATCCAATTGGCTGTGACGTTTGACAAGAACGTAACAGTTTTCACCGGCATTGATGATAACGGTGATGTGTCTCTCCCCGTGCTGGTTCTGGACTGCACGAGGATGAGAGAGGCGGTCTTCAACGGAGTAGGTAACGGGTCCACGACGTTGAACTTCCAATACGAGGTGCGTGTGTGATCGCGCAGCACCTGCGTATATGCAAGTGTTGTGAGACGTGTGTAGCGTATTTTCGCGTCTATTTGAACACAGTTGCAGTCAATGCGTAATACACAGACATGTTCGATGCGCCCCTCGTGTGAGCGACACCCGATGAATACAAGAAAGGAGTCCTAATTACACAGAAATAGGACATTACGCAACATAGACTGGGACCACAGCAGTACATGGAGTACAGCCGGCTTTGGCGGGAGCTCTATTCAACGTGTTCTTCAGGCATTGTGTCGTCGACAGCTTGCTCGGTAGTCGTTTCCTTTCGTTTTACGTGATTGGCAAGGACGGCGAAACCAACATTTCTCAGGACGTGTGTAATGTTGTTGTTGTGCTATCTCTCCACTGGCACGACTTTTCACGACATCACACTTACCACGACCTCCTACTCTCACCAAAACAACTCCCGCCGTGCGTGGTTTGTGTGTCACCACTAAACCACAGGTACAAATGGGCGACTACGCAAACAATCTCGGCTACCGATTCTTCCCCAATGCTCTTTGCCTGGAGGTGAGTCTTCAACCTTTCCGCACATTTTCGGCCTACGTGAAAGCAGGTGCTCATATTGGATGAGTTTCGTGTTCCGTTACCCGCGGACGAGTGCCGTTTTCACTTGCCTACCACGTATTTTGTTGAAAGAATGCACGTGGTGCCAAACTCCGGCACCCAGATGATCTCAACCGCTGCTCCTGTATTGCTCTCACGGACGTATCATAGACTGCTGTAGCGTTTTCTCCATTCGCAGTGTGAAACAACAGCGTCGTAAAAGAACTCCCATCCATGAGCTTTCATTGTTCCTCGCGACAACCCATTGCGCGACATCCCCCATCGTCTTAGTGTTTGAAAGGGCGCGAGCGAATACATCATGAGAGATTGAGCTTACCTCGCCCTCCTTGGTCTCCAACGTTTCCAGTCGGGGTGCCCGGACCGATCAAGCACTTCCATCCGAGAGCAGAAGGCCCGCGGAGGAAGTCGGGGCATAGACGCTACCCTAGCACTGTCGAATTCCCTAGGTAATCGCGTGTCTGGCGTGCCCGTGGCGACAGATGTAACCGTTGACACATCTGGGTCAAGAGGGACGTACGTCGTCGGCCTGTCAACGGACACTGTGAACGGCACTTACGGCGCGGGACAGGTGCGATGGTATTCTGTTGTGGTTGTAGCTGCCGTTTGCATAAATAATCGTTCTGACCCAGTGCCCCAGCTTCTCTCCTCTTCAAGGCAAAGAAAGAACTACCTTTGTCACAGCAAACCAAGAAAGAGTAAAAAAAGAACACGGAAAAACATGTCCAGAGCAAGTAGTGGCAAAAGGAGCTTAGCAAAGTACACGGAAGGGGAGTCCCATAACCCTCCTTGTTCTGGCGTCCGTGTGTCATTTTCCCAAAGAGTGTTCGCGCACTATTATGGACCCAGGGGCAAGGTCTATCGCACGTTGAACTCAAACAAAGAACATCGCCAGCAACCCGGACATTGATGGCAGTATGGTTAGGCGAGTGCGTGGATGTATGGAACTTCAAATATCCAAAGGTGGAGGTGCATTATTGGATTCAGAGTTACGAGGCCATGGTGTCACTCTTCCCCCTGATGATCGCGGAAAGATACCGCATGTATGTTTCTGCCCGAAAGTGTATACACTCGTACCTAAGGTTCGTCTCCGCTGTCAACGGGCCTTCGCTTCCTTCTCCTGGTTCACAATGAACAAACCTCTTCTTAACCTTACTACGACGACCGCTCCCTCTCTTCGAAACCCGAACAAAACATCCATGATAATATAGGTGATTGACATAACCGTCGAATTCTCGGACGAGCTTCTGTTGGAAACGTCTGGCCTACGCAGCGGCGCGCTTCCTACCATCCCTCTCAACAACGGTGGCGAGGCGCAGGTGGTGGCGGGAACTGGAACGAGAGAGTGGCTCTTCTCGTACACGTTTCTTGCCGCCACGTCAACAGGGGGTGTCAGCGGTAACGAAAGCGATGTGCCGGTTCTTGACATTGCCAACGACTCGTTTCCCCCGATGATAAACTGCACGGGAGGGTGCCGGGCGTCGAACTGGAACGGAGCGACGGCGAACCTGTCGGTGAGACGAGCGAAGATTTGCTTTTGGTGTCGCGGCTTTGGGTGCTGGCTGTGGTCGTGTCGTATTGCGACTTGAGTGTGCCAATGGAAGTGGTTTCTGGGCGGTCTCTCGGGATTACCATATCAGCTTGAAGTGGCGTTTCTTCTTTTTTCTCCAGAACGTCGACCGGCATCACACTGCCGGTCTTAGTGTTGCGTACCCGCAGTTTCACAGCAGAGGGCCAAATTTGTTGCGGACGTTCTCTCGCACAGCCGCCCCTCTGTGAGCTAATGTTCCTCGAACTGTTTCGTTTTAACAGCTGGAAGGGTTCAACCTTAGCCACGCGGGCATCGAGCTAGAGTCGACTCCGCCCGCCGTGGTGGAGCTGTACAGCCCGAAGGAGACTTCACCTTGGGGAGGCGTTTATACCGTTGGCGAAGAGGTACGCGGGTGTAGAATGTCACGATACCTTGGGTTCAAGTCGACGCTGTTTTTGTGAAAGTTGCAGCTAGCGCTACCAAAGTTGGAATAAACGAACCAATGGAGCTTTCTGGTCTTCTGCGGGTAGACTCTTGTTTGTGTTGAGCCAGAAAGAATACCAACGTGGGGAGGCGTTGTCACCGCGGGGAGAGACAGGACACTATGGCGGGAGAGATGGCAACGAGAGGAGCTTTTGGTCACATTGCGACACGGGCTGTGATAACTGCCTGTCGGAACGTGTCGGTGGTTTCGACGAAAAGTACCAGGGTGAAGCCAGTGATGGCCTCATATGCTACGGTCTTGACACCAGCGAACCAGGCTGTTGAGAACGTCATCGAAACCAGAGCAAACTTTTCAGTTGCGATCGTCTTCCACTCTGTCTCGAACTCGTATTTGGCTGATTCTCGCACTTGAGCTGGTTTTGTCGGGAAACGCTGCTGAAGAACCCTTCCGAAACACGAGACCATTCCCCTCCTTTGGTGCATGCGTGTTGTTGACTTGTCACTCCAGATCGAGGTTCGAGTCGTTTTCGACTCACCAGTTATTGTCACCGGCTCTCCAAGGCTGCTCCTTGACACGGGGGCATACGCGCTGTACGATAGTACATCGGAGGATGGGACAGAGGTGTGAATGGAATGAGGACGCTTGTGTCCCCACCGTTTAGAATCCATGCTGGTGATGAATGATCAAGTTTGATTCATGTCATCATCGTCATGGTGACTACCTACATTTTTTTCAAAACGGACCATCCGTATGCAGAGCCTTCTACACATATCCCCAACTACATGGATTGTTGTGCGTACTTAAGCCAATTCTCAAGCAGCGTAGTGTCTTCTGGAGTAATGCATATTCAAGGTATAGGTTCCTTATGGATATTCCCCTCCATTCAAGGAATATGCTAGTATTTGTTGCATGTTGTAGTATTGAAGGTTTGGCATAGTACTACGAGCTTCCGTTTACCGAGGAGGCGATGGTCGTGTCAAACAAAATTAGTGATTGCGAGACTCTTTCGCTGCCCAAGGTTGGGACACACTGGCATGTAGGTTGGTTTGGTGAAGCTGCAGGGTTCAGGCGTGCAGGTTCGTTTTTACTATTCCTATCTGGACGATGCCACACCACGCACAAAGCGCGCCGTGTCTTTTTGAACATTTTCGGAATTCGACTATTCGCTTTCAAAGGAAGCCGTATGCGCCGGACGCTTAGTACTCGGAACACAATGTACGACGACTTCGCTCCTTCCACTCTCCGAACACTTGTCAATGAAAATCAGGTTCAATTTTTGTACACGGTGGACTACGGCGATCACAGCCCCAACGTTACCTGGACCGGATCGCTCTCGCTCGGTGCCAACGTCGGGGATGGAGGGGAGGTTGGGGGGGGTGGTAGCGAGGATTGGATACTGCGGCGCTCTACGAACCCTTCGACGCCTGCTGATGTGTCACTGCCGGACCCTGCCTACCCTTTAGCGAGGGGAGGATCGACGATCTATGTGAACACCACTGGACGACCTCAGGTATTCTATCATATTGTTCGTAGTTAATGTGGTCGTCTTTCCTCCCTTCTTGTAAAGTACTTTTTCGCGTCTTGACCGATGACCGCTGCAGCAGTATCTGCGGCATCAGATGCTTTGTACTGGCCACCTTGGTGCACGTTTGGACGAACTGCGCTCGCAGTGTAGGAAGGTAAGCCTGTATCGCCTCTCATTACCCCCTAGGTCGTGTTTGTTAGTAACCAACGTTCACATTTGAACGTAAACTGGATCGCATCAAAATAATTGCGACCGCTTATGAGAGTAGTTCCTCGGTCGTTCAATTTATCTCTCCTTCCTCACGCCCCCTTCTCCCGGAATCTTGACGCGATATCCAAGGTAATAAATGTCACAAGCCCGGGCGCCACCGGAACGTATGCCCCAGGAGATGTGGTACCAATCTGGGTCGCGTTCGACCAATTTGTTGCCGTGGTGGGTGAACCCGTGTTCTACCTCAACACGGGAAAGGGGGAGCCGGGAAGGGCAATCTACGTAGAAGGCAGCGGCAACCAGGCAAGAGACACAGCCGTCGTTGATGTTGTTGTTGGCGGTGGTGGTATTTGCTAAAGTTAAGGCCTGTGCACGTATCACCTACTTCGAAGTACTTGATAAGAGAGATATCGTCTATCCTTGACCACATCTCTACAGGATTGTTGGGATTCAACAGGGTTGATTTACGACAGTTTGTGCTTGCGAGCAGCTGACACTAGCTGTAGCTGAAGCTGTCTTTTGTCGGTACGATACTCATCTTATTGGGTTCTACTGTACTGAACTCTCTACGAACCGTACTCGGTGTACAGGCTGTGCATGCCATTACGCGAAATGGCGAGGACTCCATGCAGGCGCAGGACGCCTTGTCGAATCCAATCCTTACATTTAGTGATCCTGGGAGGAACGGGAAGTGCAGGAGCAATACAAGAACCTTCAACACTCCTATAAGCTCAAATTGCCTTCGTTCGTCCACTATCAGGATATCACTCGGTCTTTGCGAACCACGCCGCCAGGCCTTGATAACCTAAGAGCCTTGCGTGTACCTCCTATTTCCACCATCCCTGCGCATGCCCAGTCTTTTGCGTCGTTGTAGCTGACGACCTTTTGTTCGTGCCACGTTACGCCTCTGACCCCCCTCCCTTTCCCCAGACCTTAGTTTTCGAGTACAATGTTGTCGAGGGCGACCTGACCGACAGCCTAGCATGCTCCGACCGACACGCTCTGGTGTTCGGTTTCAACGCTACGTTCGGCTCCTCGGGGTATGAGGCCAAGCTGCGGTCGCTGGTCGCTCAAGCCTCGACGAACCCGACGGTGGCTGTGGACAGGGTACGTTTGCCGGAGGGGTGTCGGTGGTAGAGAGATTGCTTCGCCACACGTCGGTTGCATCAACGTTGTGAGTGAGAACAGTTCGAGTTCTAGTTCTACACCCCTTCCACGATCAATTTGGTAGATTGCGAGGCAAGGGAGGGCACGCTGAGGAGACAAAGGGATCCAGTGTTGCGGCACGCCACTACCCATCAGCTCAAATCTTGCTTCAAAGGCATCCATATTTTGTCTGTCGTGCTGTGACTGGGAGTACCGCTTCTCCATCACCACGGTTGTAAACGTCCGCTCAACAGCTCTAGAACGTCCTCGTACTCCCTAGCGGCGTTTCAACCCCCTACTCTGCCCCCTATCCCCACCCCAATTTGTCAAAAATGCCTGTTCGACAGGTGCTACCGTTCTACCCCGGAGAGGAAGGCAGCTTGTCGTTCAACTCCGACATCGCCCTTGACGGGTCCACCCCTCATATACGGGAGATTTTCTTCGCGGGAGAAAGCAACACCACGTATCAAGGAGGCGACGTCGTACAGGTGGGAAAGCCTTTGGTCATTTCACCCCTTTCTGTCTGCGTCGCGTTGCAGCCGCACACGTGTATTGCAGTGGGCGGGTCTGTTCGTGGACCAACGCCACGCGTGGCGTTAGTCTTACGTATGTCGTTGTGTGTGTGATACAAGGCACGAGGGAGCACAGGTGAATTCTCGGACCTGCAGAGGGAGCAATTCACTGTGATGCCCCTGAATGATACCGTTCTTTCAACTCAACAACATGTTCCGTAGTTCCTTGGCCTCCCTCAGATCCTTTATAAGATACAAGCGTTGAAACCGCCCCCTGAACGATTCGTCCCTGCTGTCGTCCAATCATCTGCCCCGCATCACGTCCGACGCGTGTAAGGTTGTCGTGCGGTTCTCCGCGCCAGTTGTGGTCTCCGGCGCCCCCGCTCTCAAGCTAGAGACTGGAGTCGTGGACCGCCAAGCGTTGTGGGTTAACACCACAGAGTTTAACTCTAGCGCTGCGGACAACGACGCGGTCGCCGAGGAAGTCGAGGGCGATGACTACCTGTTGCTTTTCGAGTACCTTGTCGTGACCGGAGATTCGGCGGGCGATTTGGACTATTGGGCCGACGACGACGTAAGGAAGATAGAGAGGGAGAGCGGGGGAGAGAGAGAGGAAGACAGACAGACAGGCAGACAAAGAGAGAAAGAGAGAGAGAGAGAAAGAGAGAGAAAGCGCAAGAGCAAGAGAAAGAGAAAGAGAGAAAGAGAGAGAGAAGAAGAGAGAAAGCGAGAAACACACAGACAGACCAAGTAGATAGAGACGGAGGGTTGTCGAGTTTCCTTTTCCGTGGTACGACTGTTGTGGGTTTGTCGTCTAGTTTTTTCGGCGTGATGGGTGCGTGGCCGTAGGGCGACTGGGCCGATGACGAGGTGGAGGCTGAATGGCTGTGGGTAGGCATTTTTCTTGTCCACCTCTCCGCCCCCGTGTCTCCGCCCCCGTGTCTCCGCCCCCGTGTCTCCAACCCCGTCTAGAATAATATCGAAAATTGTAGACGAGCAACGGTACGCTTTCTGGTGAGACGAAAGCAGCATTATCCACCATCGCACCACATTTATTTCCACCGCACGCAACACAAAACCAGGACTGGAGGGATGCCCGCGTGTCCTTCGTTCTCCCCACGATCAATAATGGCAACGACAACACCACCATCCCGTCGACAATAAAACGGCTGAGCGCGAACCCGTCACTCGACGCCGATCTGCACCTTAACCCCCCGGGAGGGATGCTGAGCGGAACGAATCGGGCAACAGCCTTTGGTGGGTGGTTTTTCTTCCGAGACCTCTTCGTGCGGACGCGGGGCAAGGGGTACAAGATGGTGTTCGAGGCCTTTTATTCCGATTTGTTGCATGTGGATGCCCTGAATTCCTTATCGTCATCGGCGACTTCCTCTTCGTCAGCTGCGGTTGGGAGTTCCTCAAGCAGCACCAGCAGCAGCAATGGTATATTCGTGAAGGAGAGGGGGCTCGCGCTCAAGTCATCGACTTTGTTTGAGGTAAATTTGTTGTCGCCTAGTGTTCCAACACCATGTGCCGCTTTCCGAATCGCCTTCCGCTCCTTTCTAAACCCTTTTTGATTATCCCTGTCCACATTAAGCTCTATCCTCCTACACTTTTATCACGCAGTCATCCAGGTTGTCCATTCCGTATCGCTTCCAGAGTACCGAGTTGTCGATGGAGCAATGCCACCCACTTCAATAAGAGATGGAATCAACAATACGAACAGCAATACGGCACAACCCCCTATCGCCCCCTCTGCCTCATTCACCTCCTCCGCCACGTCACCAATTTCCCCTATTGTGTGCATGTTCAACCGCTACTCTGAAAGGTGGGATTTGCGGTGGAATTCGAGGTGATGAGCGAGGACTCGGATCGGTCTGACCTGTTCGGTCGGGCGATCTCATTGAACGGCGGCTTGTTGTTGACCGGTGCCCCCAGGAAGCACAGAGAGGTGCCGGAAGTGCAGCTGATCGTTTCCACTGGCACGGCCTCGGAGGTAAGAATTGAGTCCAGTTGCGGACAGTGCAGACAAGAAAAGTTGACGTGCAGTTGCGTAGTGACTGTTTCACGATGGGCGTTGGTCCTTGTACGGCACGGCTTCAGAGATAATAGCTCTCTCTGGCGACGTGGTCAGTATACGTACGAAACAAGCTACCAACGAACTCAGAGAGGGTAGACAGGACGCCGGATGAGAAAAGCATTCCCTGTGGTCACTCTCTTTTGCTGGCAGGTGCTGGTGATCCCACGTACACGCCTGATGACTTGAAACAGCAAGGTCGGCGAACAATCCCTGCCCGGCTGATTTTCACACCCCAATCGCGAAATATCCACACGTTGTGGTGAGGCAAGGATTCTAACCTAACACCCCCGAGCATTGTTCTCCAACCGACAGCCTCTCTCCCTCCCTCCTTCCAGACCAAGCCAGAGGTTCAGCTGATAGCTGTCGATGTTGTTCACGTCACGGAGATCCAACAATTCATCACCTACGCCGACCCATACGAAACTGTTGGAGGTTTCTGGAGCTTATACTACCCAGGCAAGGACCAGGGGAATAGAAGGGAACGCGCGGTGCATGGTGCAATTTTCTTGGCGTGTACGGGTAGGGGTATAACGTGTTGCTCAGACATGTCGGTGTGGCTGTGCATGCGTTGTGTGAGGGAGAAGGGGGTAGGAAATTCGTGTCGTGAATTCCTGGCCGCACGATGGTAATGCAACTCTTCGTTGCAGGGGGGATAGGAGAACGCCGAAGCCTTGTCGAAACTATGCACCAGAGGGTCCAAACCAGCCCCAACCGCAACCGCAACCCCTGGATGGAGAGGACGTGTGGTTGGTGTTAGCCATAGTAAGATATGGGGCGTTCACTACAGAGTGACCCTAGAAAGAAGGAGTGTAGGGTCGCCCTACGCGTAGAACGGTCGAGCGAATTCGGAAGCCCTGGACTAAAAACTGTTTTTAACAGCATCACGGGTCCCCATACCCCGCGATGGGCTATTAAAGGTGGTGGAGCTTGCCACTAATGGTACGCTTTGCAAGACATTCTCGCGAGACGATACGTTAACACGCGATGGGGAAACCTTTGGCCTTGTTCTGTACGTCACCCGCGGCGAAAGACTGTGTTGTTGTCGAGCTCTACCGCAATCCTTAGCTTAGAAAGTAAATGGCGCAACTTTAATAAGTCGATGGTAAATTACGCGCAACAAGGTTTGGCTCTCCTGCGTAAATGCACAACGTATTGTCGCCGTTTTTACAATGATTTATTGTTTGATATCAAGGCAACGGGCTCGTTGCCTGTTGCTGTTTGTTGTCCAGGGCTGGGAAAGTCGCGGAACATGCCCGCGGACGCGACGATCGAGCAGGTGCAGGCCGGACTGATGGAGGATTTCCCGACTCTAGGTCGGATGCTGGTTGTACGGGAGGATTATGCCTTCTGCGCGTGTGACGATGGATTCATCTGGACCATTACCTTCGACGAGGTTGGTGGGGCCATCTCGACTACTACTGTACCAGCAAAGAGCATAGGAACGTCGAACCAGTCGACAAGACACGTGCGGCGTAGTATCGTGGAAGAGGAAAGTGCTACCTCCTTCTTGTCTGGCTGGAAAACGTTGTCGATGGTGCCTAGAGTGCACTTCCGGCTTGAGCTGCAGTGCCTCAAGCCCCATAAGGCCCACAACGAGTGTTAAGTCCTTACGATATCCTCAGCTGCCTCATGTAAATTCTTCTAAGGTGCCAAGGAACGTTGTCAGATTTTTCAACCTTAAGTCCCTTCCCACCAACTCTGTTCACTGCGATGCCGGATGGACGGCCATGGCCGCGGTGATTGATGCTTCCTGTGCACATGATTTTCAACCAACGGTGTAAAGGCACAAGGCCACATCTTCAGCTTCGTCCCAGACGCTTCGGGACTCACAGGCACCGGAGCCAACTCCACAGAGGTGAACGAGAAAGTGTCATTCTAGGCCAAGGACGAGCCCTTGTTGAATAAGAGGACGACACGTTGGTTGTGAACATTACGAAGGTTAGGTCAATGGTCTCGCATGGATAGTAGTGTAGGATCATTTTTTTCAAAGGATGTATCGTAGTATTCATTTGTAGGCTGGTGGTGGAGCTTGGAGAGGTGATCGACTCGATTTCTGGCCTGCATCTCGCTATTTGCTGCCGATCGTTTTCACCAAGACATGAGCGGTTGTTTCGCGACCCCAGCGGGCGGCCAGTACGTGTCAGGAATCAGTTTTGCATTACCAAAGTACGAGCTTCTCTATCCTCCTCGGCGTGGTGTATCGAAGTACCTCCATAATCGATGGCAGCGGCACAAACTGGTTTGTATTTCGTGCCTTTCTGCGACTTGCAGATAAACAGCGATCTACCCTGAACCGTGCCGTGCGGCAACCCAGCCCAGCCAGAAACATGGACGTTTATCTTGACGCCTTCCATTCTGCGAGAAACTGGTTTCACAGTCCATCATTCCAAGTGGTACGGAACACGCAACTGATATCGATCATGTGCCGGGCAGGTGGAAGTCTTGCAAGAGTCGCCGGTGGTCGGAGGCACGTTCACGCTTTCCTACACTCCTTGGTCGCCCGGCAACTACAGGTGATGGTCTACAAACAGGTGTCACGATTATTGAAAAAAACGTTTCTGTTCAGTCGGATGTCGTTCGACTTACCAGAGTATCCTGCACAACACTCGGGAGATCTGTGTTGGTTGGTGGGAATAAGACTTAAGAAAGGCGCGGCAGGGTTAGGTATGATGCGGGGAGGCACAGGGCGAATGCTAGGGAACTGACGCGCCAAGCGATTCTGTTTTTGAAACCAGCTTGTCCATCTCCATCGAGTAGAGACCTGACGTTCTGCTAGTAGCTCTCTGGTGCAAGCACATTGCAACGCAAAAGGTTCCCAACCTTCGTCTCCCTTCCACCAATGGACACACTTTGGCTTCTGCACGCCAACTTATTGCGTTCAATTGCCCCGTCCTATGAAATGGAGCGGAGCGGAACTTGAGAGCGAGCAACCCGGAAAGAAAGCGAAGCGCGAAGAAAAAACCGCTTCCGTTCCTGTGTTGCCTTTCTTTTGCCCGTGTTCATCCCTGACTACACTCTTGTTCCTGCGTTCGTGAATGCAACGCGCCAACCAGCGACGGAAACGACACCACCACAGATATCAGCGACCCCGACTCCAGCAACACCACGACAACGGAGGGGATGCTAACGACGCGCCCGCTGCCATATGACGCCAACTCCTCCCTGTTGGCGACGGTGCTGTGGCAAGACCTGAATCTGTCCACCTCAAGCGTTTCGGTGGACTGCTGTGACAATCAAGGGGGACGCAAATGGATCATAGAGTTCGACTCGGGTGCGCTTGCTCTTCTCAAGGCTTTTCACTTGCCGTTGGGAGTTGAACACATCCCTTGTGTACCACAATTTGCGCCGTGTACCGTGATTTGTTCACACTTTGGATGTGGTATTCGCCCTTAGGTTCTTCTTTTCATGTTTACTGTCAAAACTGGAAAAAAGATCGGCAATAACTGTCTCGCGCACGAGGAGCACCCCCTGCTCGGCGCTGTAAACTTTTCCTATAGCAACAACACCCATGCGCCTCTCTTGTTGTTGTACTGACAGCTCACGTCTACGAACCAGTTGGACAATCTGTTCCGCAGCTTATCCACTTCCCGTTTCTCTGTTTTACCTGACATCACGGACCCTCCCCGCCACGGCGCACCCCGTGCACTTTTCCGTCGTCACCTCTCCTTCCGACAACAACCACAACCACCACCGTCACGACGACAACAACATCATCATCGACACCAGATCAAGGAGACTGGAATATCAGCTCCTTGATATGCGACTCCTCTGCGTTAACCGGAAACCGCGCGGGATGCTGGCAGCTGACCGGTAGTGATGGCGAAGGTCCGGTGGCCGGCGAGTTCAGGGTCAACTTCAGGGAGAGTGAATGGACGTCATGGTTACCGTACGACGTGCATGCAGGTGAGAGGTTTCAGCAGAGGTGGAAGGGAAACGTCAATGGGTTGGGTGTAGACGATTCGCTTTTGCGGCGCGACGTGGATGATGATTGCGGGAGTGGGGTTAGGGCTGTAGGACAAATGTCACCAGTATCAAAAGTAACGTGCGATTGTGCACTTTGTCCCCACTGGAAGCCCATATTAGCAGGCAACATGATTGCTTTTGACGCTCGCTTGTTCCTGTAAGACGAAGAAAATACGAAGAGATATCATGTACGATGAGCGTGCTTTCCTTCTCCAGAGTCAAATATCGTTTGAAGGCTTTCTTAATTCGTTCTCACACCTTAATCATGCAATGCCATCAGTTGTTCGAAAACAATCGACATTGGGATGTTGGTTGTTCCTTTGCTGTCCTCACGCTGCGAAGAATTAAACAAAGTACATTTAACCTCATCTAACAACTTGCAGACGATATGGAAACGGCTTTGTTGGCCTTGGAAAGCATAGAAGATTGCGAAGTGTCCCGAACACCAGCGGGAAGCGCTAGGCAACACGTGTGGGCGGTCACTTTCCTCGAGGTACATCGATATCAAGTGATGGATGATGTGGTTTACCTTGGTGTGATGCGGTTGAGGCAGAACGCGTGAATACGTGACAACGTGGTGAAGTTGGATCCTCCTTCGCTTCGCATTGTGTGGTGGACTCTTATACAGCAGGTATAACAGGTGTATCGATCGATCGAAAGGTTTCGTGTAGATATGACATATCTTTTGTGACCTACAGTTCCTTGCTCCCGGCTAAATATGCCACGTCTGATTCGATTCCCACCATTTTCTGGTCCATCGTCATCGAACCCTTTTCCAGGTTCGAAAACCGACAGATTTCGGTTTCGTTTTGGATGATATGGGCAACATGCCTGCCATGGTGGTGGACGCTACACGCATCAGAGGGACCGACGCATCCATCGACGTCCGATACGTTTTTGGTAAGATGTACAAAATCACTAGTCCGCGTGTCATATGCGACGGAGCAGAGACATTCCCGGAAGTATTGTTGTCTTAATCAGGTTATTGTTGTTGCTGTCTTCACGTCAAAAACCGTTACCTTTCTAGTGCCTCCCTTTGTCCATACAAGTCTAACACTTGACGCAGTCGATTCCCGTGGTCACAGGCTAATGGTGATAGCGAGCTAAAGGCTAGGCTGGGGGGTTGGGGACAGGGGCGGGGGCGGGGGCGGAGAGTTATTCAGAGTGTGAGGGTGGTGGAAAGCTGCGCAGCGATTGCCGCGTACATGTATGAGAGCACAGTTGAACTTAATATGGTCTTATCGGGGGCGACAGTGCACTGGTCGAGGTGTCGTGTGCATCTGGTGCACTTCGTTGTGATGTGAAGGACCACAGGGGAAGACCAATGGTTGCAATCAACGGGCACGACAATCCCATGAGAGGTTGAACTGGCTATGTGTCACTCCCTCAACGTAACCCGTCTGGAAACGGAGCTCGTGCCTCAGCTACCCACCAATACAAGCAGCATCCAACTACATGTAGAGGAATGCAACACGAACACTACCCGATAGAGGTATTGACTTTATCCTTTCGTCTGGTTCGGTGGAAATATAACGACATGGATGAAGCACCATCACATCCCCAATCTGTATACCCTGCTTCCGTTACCCTTACGCATCGCAACAGGAGGAGACACAGACTACGCTCCGTGGGAGGGCAAGCAGATGGGGTCTTACGGGGAAGGTGCCGGGGCTGCGTACGTGTTTTCTAGGTCCCCTGCGGCAGAGGGTTACGTGTGGGGGCAAGATCAGGTGGGCATTGCGGTAGAACAATACGGTATTGGTGGGCCTTGTGCAATATGATATGTCTGTGCTGGACACAAGTTTTTTCCTCGTAGTTCACTTTCTGGGCTCGGCGCTTGATGCCATGTGAAATACTCACCACGTACGACGTCGATACGACATACCACACACTTATTGTTCTTGCTGTTGTTTTCACACCGTGTTCGAGAAAAAGAGCCGCCGCGAATATATGATGGTTATGCTTACATCAACGGAAACCGAACCGTGTCGATCATTGCTTACCAAAGAATCGTCGCATCCATTCTGCCGTCTGTATCGATGGATCGTCCCAACACGTCGGGCTTGTTCAACGGGGGTAACGTCGACCAGCCAAATAATTCTCCAAGCAATCGCTGACATTCGTATTGATGTCTACACATGTAACGTGAATAACGCAAACAAGCAGAAGCTGCTCGGATCAGACACGGACGGACAAGACGCCTTCGGCCACTCTGTTTCGGTCGATGAGGACCACGAGCTGCTTGTCGTGGGAGCCCCGTACGCGGAAGACTATGGTGTCACCGAGGTGAGCAGTCTCTGAACGAACCTCTACTCTTACCCTTGCTTTGTAGACCCTGATGCCAGTTACAGATAGATGCACCCGTCCACATCTGTTGGGCGAAACACCGCCATTGGAGTAAGCTTGCGAGAGCCGCCTTGTGGAATATTGAAGCCGAAATAAGTAGACAGCACGTCATGTGGTACGCCGAAAGAACTGCGTGTAGCGAGGGTCACGGCGGTCGCCATACGATAGAACAGGAAGATTGGTTCCCAAACGCTCAGTCATATCGTTGCCTGCCGGGTGTATTTCCCCCCCCCCTGCGCGCGGCTCACTATCAGGTCCAAGGAATCAGCTGCAGCGCCATGACGGGAACTTTTA